GTCAAGGACTTTCCTCCGTTTCGGGAGGCAATGAAGAGGAGGGGTATTGAGGACATGGATCTTGTTATGGTGGATCCCTGGTTAGTTACTGTGTTGAGATTCTCTCATATTGATGTTCTGTAAGAATGTGCTTCCAGTGGTTGTCTTACTCTCTTTTTATTGTTGTGTGCGAACCCATTACTTACAGGTGTGCAGGATATCACAGTGAAGCTGATGCTCCAAGTCGCAGACTTGCTAAACCACTCATTTTCTGCAGAACTGAGAGTGATTGTCCCATGGAAAATGGTTATGCTCGTCCGGTTGAAGGAATCCATGTCCTTGTTGATATGCAAAATATGGTGGTAATTGAGTTTGAAGACCGTAAACTTGTTCATCTACCACCAGCTGATCCATTAAGAAACTACACTGCTGGTGAAACACGAGGAGGTGTTGATCGAAGTGATGTGAAACCCCTTCGGATTATTCAGCCTGAAGGTCCAAGCTTTCGTGTTAATGGACATTTTGTTGAATGGCAGAAGGTGCTTGCTTATTTGTAAAACTACACTGCTGATTCACTGATGTTCAATATAATTTTATAGCTTATAAATCCTTTTTTATTATTTTATTTTTATTATTTTATTATTATTATTATTTTTTTGTAAATTAAAACATAATTTTGGTTGGCAGTGGAACTTTCGTATTGGTTTTACTCCTAGGGAGGGTTTAGTAATCCATTCTGTTGCGTATGTTGATGGTAGTCGAGGCCGGAGGCCTGTCGCCCATAGGTTAAGATTTGTTGAGATGGTGGTCCCTTACGGAGATCCAAATGATCCACATTATAGAAAAAATGCATTTGATGCAGGGGAAGATGGGCTGGGTAAAAACGCACATTCTCTTAAGAAGGTTAAGTATCTCTTGTTTTGCTTTTCTTTTTGGTTGAAATATTTAGCATATCACTGATTCGAATAAAAATTTCTCTGCCTGACATATTTTTGGTTCTTCAGGGGTGCGATTGTTTGGGTTACATCAAGTACTTTGATGCACACTTTACAAATTTCACTGGAGGTGTTGAAACAATTGAAAACTGTGTTTGTTTGCATGAAGAGGACCATGGTATCTTATGGAAGCATCAAGACTGGAGAACAGGTTTAGCAGAAGTTCGCAGGTCTAGAAGGCTAACAGTGTCATTCATATGTACTGTGGCGAACTACGAGTATGGATTTTTCTGGCATTTTTATCAGGCAAGTGAGTTTCTGCCTTTATTTTGTCTAGCTTCTCATTTTTGTTGCAAGTATTTTTTCCTATCTTAGGTGTACTAAATCCGCTGAGTGCAGTAATGAGGCTCAGCTGAATCCCATCTCTTCTTTGAGTATTAGGAACAATTTTGGTCCTTTAAACAGTAGGTTGTTTCAAGTATGAGTATCTAAGTGCTCGGTATTTTTTTTAGTCTCTCAATATTAGTTTACTGCTATTTGTTTAAATGGTACCACTTAAATCCTAATGATGCAATACTTATGTTGTAGGATGGGAAAATTGAAGCTGAGGTCAAACTCACAGGAATTCTCAGCTTAGGAGCACTTCAACCTGGGGAAGTACGGAAATATGGTACAACTATTGCACCTGGGTTATACGCACCCGTTCATCAACATTTTTTTGTGGCTCGCATGGACATGGCAGTTGACTGTAAGCCTGGGGAAGCATTTAATCAAGTAAGTTGATGTGAATGCTGGGGATATTTTTTCTTCTTCATATATCTCCTTTGTTATACATGTATCAGTTTTAGGGTAATACATCCGATAAGATCTGTTTATTTTTTCAGTGAGCTTTCAGGTCATCAATAGGCTTGTTAGATGCATATTAGTTGTGTAGAGTTATTGTATAGTAACATTCTAAGATCATGAGAGTGTTGCATATTTCTTCATTTAATAAGACTCTGTTGGGTTCATTTCTGTGTGTGTGAATTTGATTTATATCAGAAGTTTGCTGTGCAACTTGCATTTGTGGTATTGTGGTTCTTTTAAGTATTTTATGTTACTTTAGCAGTACTTTCCCAAGTTCTTGAGGTGGTCTAATATTTATCCAGTAACCTTCAATAAAGAGGTTGCTTTTCCATGGTTTAATTGACGAGAAAATCTTCTTGGATGTTATAGGTGAACTAAAGTTGAATTCCTTGGCCCGTAAGAGTTAGGCTACATCTATATTGACATATTGTTCACATCTATTCCTGGGTCTGCTGAAAAGGTTGCATATTCTCTGACAGAACTTGGATGTACTCTGAGGAATTTATGTGATGATGTTTTTAGGAACTTAAATCTCTGATTGTTGATTTACTTATGAGTATATTATCCAATTAAGATCTCTTATTCCTTGAATGCATTTTATGGCGTTGCACTCTTCTTTAGCTTTATAGAACTGTTTTTTAAACTAGAAAACAAGAATAATTGCCGTATGTGTACTCATACTATTAAGATCTGTATGCTTTCTTGTTGGTGTAGGTTGCTGAGGTGAATGTTAAAGTTGAAGAGCCAGGAAAAAATAATGTTCATAATAATGCATTCTACGCTGAAGAGGAACTACTAAGATCAGAATTGCAAGCGATGCGTGATTGTAATCCTTTAACTGCCCGGCATTGGATTGTAAGATTTCTTACCCATGTAGTTCTTATTTTTAATATTTGCTCAGAAAAATTGTGGTGTCTAGTACAAGGATGATTATGATAATTTGAGCAGTGAAAACTCTTGTAGTTATTGGGGTAGATGATGGCTTGCTGTGGATGCAATTTTGATTGGTTTCTGATAATTTAGCCACTCAAATTATAAGTTGTATAAATAAACTGCATTGATACTACAATTGCAATCAACATGGGAATATGAAGACATCTTTTTGAGAGTGCTAATCATGAGAAAAAATAAATGCTTCTATATTAATATGATATAAATATCTTAGATAGTTCATTAATTTGTAGTTCATTATAGTTTAGCATTTATAATTCAAGAATTAGACTATGGATGCCTTTATTTGTGCTTCCATCTATAAATTCAGCTTTTTTTCAAATGTCTTTGTATCATTGGTTGAGATATAAAAAGAGGTAAATATATCTTCCACATGTTCTCCATCTTTACCGGTGTTGGTATGTAATAATGTTATAACAAGTGCTTGATGCCTTGCTTGAAAATGTAATGGGTTTCCTATCATCTTTCTTTCCATATTCTTTAAAAAAAATATATATATCAGTTTTGGATTTATTGACATGATAGTTTTCTATACTGTCTAATAAAACAGTAAACTAATTGTGTAGCTGACAATTGACATATTCTCTTCAGATAAGAAATACAAGAAATGTTAATCGGACTGGGCAGTTAACTGGATATAAGCTGGTACCTGGTTCAAACTGTTTACCATTAGCTGGTTCTGAGGCCAAATTTTTGAGAAGAGCTGCTTTCTTGAAGCATAATCTTTGGGTCACTCCTTATGCACATGATGAAATGTATCCTGGGGGAGAGTTTCCCAATCAAAATCCACGAGTTGGGGAAGGATTGGCTACTTGGGTTAAGCAAAATCGATCTCTGGAAGAAAGTGATATAGTTCTATGGTTAGTTTACCTTCCGTTTCCCTAAGAACTACAATAAACATTTTTGTGTCCATGCCTGTGTGCCAAGAATGATTTTCCTTCATCAAAAAAGTAGGGACTCTGATACATGCTGGTTTTCTGTTACCACTCATAATTTATTACTGAACTAAAGTAAACTAGCTGCAAAAACAAGTTTTATTGGATCCACTTCCCATCTTCTGAATATGGATTATAAATAATCCTGCTTGTAAACGGGTGTGCTGATTTTGTTATTTAATATTGTGAATATACTTTTAGTTGTGTGTTTTGGGATAATGTCTTGGCACTGTACAGGTATGTATTTGGAGTGACTCACATTCCTCGACTGGAAGACTGGCCTGTAATGCCAGTGGATCGCATTGGTTTTATGCTCATGGTATTTCAATCATCCTAGTAGAGAAAGTTGTTTTATTATGCTGCATAGCATAGTGAGCCACATCTTTGAACAATGTTACAAGTAACCTTGTATGTTATTGAATGAAACGTCTTTGTCTGTGATGCAGCCACATGGGTTCTTCAATTGCTCACCAGCGGTGGATGTCCCTCCCAGTTCCAGCGATTTGGATATCAAAGACAGCAATGGAATAGCTGAGAAGCCTATTCAGAACGCTCTGCTTGCTAAGCTCTGAATGGATCATTGTTAAGTGGGGCCGGTTGTGTTCAGGTGCCCCTTTATTGGTGTGTGTTAAATAATTGAGCCAATGGCCAACTTCAGACACATAATATAATATTTCGCTTTTGTTTGTAACGATTTAAACGGAAGCATGGTTTAGCCGTTTGTTATAAAAGCACTGTAGTAATTCTTTGAATCAAAGTAAAATTTGTAGACAAGGGCACATGAAATTGAGTGTTTGGTTGGCTTCCAGAAAATCCCATAAATACCCGAATCCAGTCAGCATCATAATCTGTTTAGTGGTCCGTAACTAATTTTGATTGTCACTCTTCAAACGCTGCCTGTATGTTATGATATACGAAGAAAGACGTGCCCGCGACTCAGAGTTTATCAGAATCATACTTGGAAAAGGTTCAAACCAAATTTGCGTTTGTGGTGATCATGTTGTCTTCCTCGATGCGCATTTGTGACACGTCATTATAATTGAATTTGAATGGTCTAATTTAAACAACAATATAATTAATTGGGTGGGTTAAAATAAAATAAAATATTGATAGTACCCTGTGGACCTGTGGTCTTGTACTTGAAGCAAACAATTTCTTTCTTTCTATTTTATTAGCATTAGATGGAAATGACATCAATGACCGGATTCTTAATCTACGCTCTTTCTTAGCAAGTGCACAAGACTTTCCTCTTCTTTAGTCATCAAGTCTTCATCCCATAACGTAAACGACCGTTACGCACACAAAAGGCATTGACTCGTCACTTTGACGCTTTGCAGCCCACGCTCCACGCGCCGTTGAAAGTTCTTAAAACCCAAAAAAAAAAACACAAAACAATTTCCCAGAAAGAACGAAACACACGAACATGCGAGGAAGAATGAACAGCAGTTATACACTTCTATTACAAACCCTGCCCCTGCCCGCAATCTGACCCGCCGTAGACGTACACAAACTGAAAATTGAATATCGGAGACATCGGCAGAAATCGGACAAAGTGAGTGGCCGATACTACCTTATGGCTGCGTCAATAGAAGAGAAGAAAATCCAGGATGAGTTATCGGCTATAATAATTTGGGCGGAGCGAGTTCGCGTAGCGGTTGATGAGGCAGAGTACTTCAAAGCCGACTGTCAAGAAGTAGGTAAGCAAGTGGATCGGCTCTTACAAATGCTCCGGAACGTTGCTCGGTTCGCCGGCTCATCTCAGTCACTCTACGACCGGCCGATTCGCCGCGTAATTTCCGAGGTGTCAAGACACATAGAGCGTGCCCTAACCCTAGTCCGGAAGTGCAAGCGTCGGAGCGTGCTACGACGTGTCGTCACCATTGTAACTGCCGCCGACTTTCGGAAGCTGATAAACCTGCTGGAAGCCTCCGTCGGCGACATGAGATGGCTTTTGAGTATCTTCGACACTGAAAACGGCGGCGCTTCGGGCGGTATAGTTCTTTCTTTGCCACCTATAGCTAGTAATGACCCGATTTTATCTTGGGTTTGGTCTTATATTGCTGCTATACATATGGGCCAATTAAGTGATCGTATTGAAGCCGCTAACGAATTGGCTTCGCTGGCTAAAGATAACGATCGTAACAAGAAAATTATTGTTGAAGAGGGTGGAGTCCCTCCTTTACTTAGACTTTTAAAAGAAACCTCCTCGTGGGAGGCGCAAATAGCGGCTGCCACGGCTCTGTTTAATTTAGCAAATGAACAAGAAAGAGTGAGGGTTATAGTGAATGAGCTTGGGGTTCCAATTATAGTGAATGTTTTAAGTGAGTCTTTGATGAAAGTTCAGATTCAGGTGGCGAGTTTGGTGGCCAGAATGGCGGAGCATGATAATGTGGCACAGGATGATTTTGCGAGGGAGAATGTGATTAGGCCACTCGTGACGATTTTATCTTTCGAGACATTTGTTGATGATCAAAGGACTAATTTGGGTAAGCCGAGTATTCATTCACTTGTGCAGATTAATAAAGAATTGGAGAAGAACACAATGGTTGGTTCCAAGAGTTCTCGTCCTTACATGCATTTGTATAGTGAAGGTAGTAGTAGTAGATCAGGGCAGAATAGGAAAGAGAGGGAGAATGAGAAGCCTGAGGTGAAGATAAAGTTGAAAATTGCTTGTGCTGAGGCTTTGTGGATGCTTGCAAGAGGGAGTGTGCCGAATAGTAAGAGAATAACAGAAACAAAGGGGTTGCTTTGTTTGGCAAAATTGGTTGAAAAGGAACAAGGTGAATTGCAGTCGAATTGTTTGATGACAATAATGGAGATAACTGCTGCTGCTGAACGAAATGCTGATCTTAGACGTGCTGCTTTTAAGACTAATTCTCCTGCTGCTAAAGCTGTTGTGGATCAGCTTTTGAGGGTGATTAAAGATTTAGACCCAACATTGCAAATTCCTGCTATAAAATCAATTGGCTCATTGGCCAGGACTTTCCCAGCTAGAGAAACTAGAGTACTTGGTCCTTTAGTGGATCAACTTAGTAATAAGAACCCTGAAGTGGCAACTGAAGCTGCGATTGCGTTGCAGAAGTTTGCTAGTCTTGAGAATTTTCTCTGTATGGAGCATTCAAAGGCAATTATTGAGTTCAATGGTGTTCCACCTCTGATGAAACTGCTAAGGGGTAATGATCGGACGCAGTTGCATGGATTGGTTCTGCTCTGCTACCTTGCATTACATGCTGGCAATAGCGAGGCTTTGGAACAAGCTAGGGTGTTGACCACCCTTGAGGGGGCTGACCGCACTGTGGTTTCACAGCATCCTGAGTTGAAAGATCTGCTGTCGAAGGCGATAAACCACCTAAATCTGTATCATCCTGGAGTTCATTCTCAAAGGCTGGCATATGGGCCTTTATAATTCAAATATTTCGTTTTGGTAAATTATTGTGTTGATACATTTTTATCAGATGGAAATAGGGGTACAAAAAAAACACATTGTTGGCTTACTGAGGCATAAATACTAGTTTATCAAAGTAAAGAGTTCTGTGGTAAAGGGGTGATACATTAGTTTAAAGTGAATTCAAATGGATTAAAACATTGTAATAGCTCAAGTTTAGTGGATTTCTGGGTTATATAAACAGATTTTACTTGTGATTTGCCTGTCATCGAATTTACTCTGTGTGTGTTCAATTTAACTGTAATTTTTTTTTTTTTTATATATACATGCAACTGGTCACCACTGACTGAATTTGAGATTATGTTTCTATAGACCAAGATAAGTTATGTTTAATGGCATCATGGTTAAAAGAATAAAAATTCAAAATTTGCAGTTCCCCATCCCCTATTGGTCCAGGAGTCTTGTCAAAGCAAATTCTATTGAGAATGTTTTTAATCAGCAAAAACAGTAAGAACAGATTCAATCAGAAAGGATCTAAGGAATTAAGAGGTAAAAGTGGTGACTTTAAGGGCGTCTTTGGTTAGGGGCTATGAAAAGATAACTTTCGTGATCTCTATCTTTAATTTTGGACATTTATTTGTTTAATTGTTAAGTAATAAAAGATTTCACCCAATCTTCTAATAATAGTGATTACTATACCTTAAATAAAATGTATAGGTAAAATGGCTATAAATAGTAGTTCTTGCTTTTTGATATCTCTTGGTTTGATGCCCGCCAATAATAAAAGAAGAACAAAGATTGAAAGGACTTTTGCAATTTAATTCTTCTGACTAATGTTGTATCGTTGACGGGACATGATGGATAAGGAGAAACTTCTCTGATAGGTGTTGGAACTTTCTGGGGTAGTGGGGTTCATAACTTCATAAATAGGCAGTTGAATTCCACTAAAGCATAATAAAAAAGATTGCAAATATGATGAATTAGCTAAGGTAGGTTCATTATTCTATAATAACTTGACTAGGCTTCTGATTCTCAAATAAAACTTTGTTAACGGCCTCTTATTCAATCAATCATTCGATTTTCAACAATTACCTAAAAAATTTCGTTGTCCTTCTTCAGCTAATCAGCTTTATGCTCTTATTCATCAACTGCTTTTCTTCTTCTTCTTATTATTATTATTATTTTCATTTTTATGATAAAATGAAATAACCCACTTACTTATTGATAAAAAAATAAAAAAATAAATAAATTTCTTTATTGAACTTAAAAGGAAAACAGTTCTGCATAAATATTATATCAAATAAATTGACTAAATATCTAAAAAATTTACAGGTTAAAATCTGGAACTTTAAAAGGAAAATTATGTTGCTTTTCCAGAAAGCTTTTCAATTTTTAGCTTTCCTAATTATTCCTTGTGTCCAACTCTGTTGCATTTAAGATAGAACATTTGAGGCAATGCATAAATGACAAATCTCTCTAGTGCATGAATTTATGGAAGATTGAACATAGATGTAACAACTTCAATTTGCTGGGGAATTTTTCCACTTACACCAGAATAAAACATGATACATTACAACCAAGTAACAAACCATGACCATGTAATCAACTTTCTGGTGTGATATTAAAAACTCATGGTTCCCACAGTTTATCAAGATTGCATAAATTTCCAGAGTAGTGCAGCAAAATTTTGAATGCGTCAAAGGCTATCTCCACCACAGCACAAAAAAATCCAATTCATTCAATTATCTGCCATTTCTTGTGGTCATACAAGAGAATTTCAAAAACAAACAGGGAACTACAACTCTAACCTAAGAATGGTACAAAATCAGATATCTTCTGACAGTCATAATAACTACACCTACAAATGACCTATATCCATAACCTGGAGAAATTGCAGGCAGTTATTAACATCTACTATTAGAAGTCATGGTAAACATTAGCCGGCGGGGGGAGGGGGGGTGTGGTGTTAACATAGAACTGAATGGTCCGGTAAAGGAAAATAAAGCAACAAAGCAATTAATTCTCATTGCATGGCAACTATACAAAATTTCAAGTCTTATAAGAATTGTCCTGCAATTTGATTCCCACTTAAGCAAACAAAAAATTAATCAATTGCTGAGTTCCATGGTATGGACATGTCTAGAAGAAATTTCATTAACAATCAACTTCGTTGTTTGAGGTAGATTCTGTGCAGGAAAGATTGACACATATTTTACATACCTTTGGAGCTATTTAGTGGTAATGGGCTTCACCTATGTTTACTGCAAAGTATTTCCCTATCTTATGCATGCATTTTCGCATTGCACAAGCACTGAATCCATCAGATATCTCTCCTCAAATCTGTTGATATAACATATTTGACCATTAACAGATACATGCAGTTAAATATTCTCATGTTTTCTGAGACCTTGAAGCAAAATTTTATACTTATTTACACTTTATCTGATTTCTTTTTTTTTTTTTTTTTTTTTAATTTCTTTATGTTTTAAATATCTTCTGCATTGTCCCCACTACAAACATGTCATCAACAAAAACAATAGAATCTTTGCCTGTATTCATCATCTTAGTAAAAAGTGAACAGTCTAATGCATCATACTTGAAACCAGCTCCTTTGACAGCCTCACGAACTTTTGCGGAAAAATGAAAGCCCTAAAAAACCAAATAACATAATAGGAAAACAAAACATCTTCATTTCAGCTAGTTAAGGCTAAAATCAACAAAGCACGTCATATTTGAAGGTCCTCTCAACATGTGCCCCAAGCCATAAACAAACAAATTTTTTTATAATATTTATACACATTATTTACAAAAAGAAATGCTTTGAGACAATCAAAATTTTGTTTGCTTCTATTCTTTATCATGTGCACTCAAGACAAATGTTAATATTTCCCTATTTATAATTCATCAAGACATGAGCATAAACCACAAAAGCAGCCAAGGTATCTATGCGATTTGTATTATCACCCCCACAATATATAGATTACAACCAAAGAAAATACATCCCAAAGGATTTTAGACTAGTCAGTGTCAAGATCTACAAACCCTTGTTAGGTATAACTCAGCAGGATGAAGGCAAAGCTCGCCAATTATCAGCAAGTAACATGACGTGATTACGTGAAGTTACTGAAAGTTGTTCGAGAATAACATTCTTGATATGAGCTGCTGCCATTTCACCAGCACGTGTAGCAAGTTCAAGGTAAACTACAGCTTTCATCATCTCCCCTTCCTGCCCAAGTATTGTCAAAAAGATGTCAATAAGACTTGAAAGTAAACAGTAACAAATCAAAATAAAATTAGAAAGCTCCAGCCTTATCAAATTAGATTTTTTGAAGCTCTTTGGAGGCCTATTACAAAATATATCCAAGATACGTCATTTTTTCTTCATTTACCATAACTGGATAGGGGTTTTGAGTTGATGTGTTCTGATCTTTATGGATTTGCGGGCTGTTGTAATCTCTCTCTTTTTGGTGTTCCTATTGCTCAGTTTACAAAAGATTTTTGTGATTTTTGTAAAGATCTGACTCTCTTTACAGTGGACACCGGGTCCAACTTTGTATCTTTCCTCTCTTTCAATGTCTTGGTGTTTCCTATTATTTAGAGAGAAAAAAAAAGGGACAAATCCACCCCACATCTATAGATGCATTAGATCTTTCAGTGTCAGCATTCTATTAGCATGCATGTAACTGCAAGAAAAAGGTGAACGTAGAGACATATCATGCCTGTCCAATAGGCTCCCCTAATCTCATTCACTGTGTCCAATAATCATGAATTTCCCACATTGATTTTAGGGTTGATAGTATCTCCCACGTTCACTATGCTTCAAGAAAAAAACCGTATTACTCTGCTTAACTAAAATAATTACTTTGGGTTGTCTAAGTGTACTAACAAGTAACAATCTCAAATCAAGTTACAGTGACGCATTTGTTCCTATACAAGGAAAAGAGCCACAAGTAATTTGTCAAGGTTAGTTGACAGAGTTGTTTACCGAAAATAGGGCAAGTCCATGCTCAAATTGAGCTTTTCTGTGACCACGATCAGCTGCCCTTTTCATCCATTTTCTTGCTTGTCTATGGCTTAAGGGCAACCCTTTCCCAGCCGAGTAGCAAAGTGAAGTGTTGTACATAGCACGTAGATACCCACCTTCAGCAGCTTTTAAGTACCATCTAGCCTGATTCAAGATAAATTTATCAAAATAGAAGATCTACATATCCTATGATGTACCACTCTTCAGGCACAAAAGGCCTAATCATCTCAAATCTCTGCGAACTTTAGGAATATAAATTAAGGGAAAGGTCGAAAGGACATAAATAAACAATGGCCAAGAAAACAAATAAAATAAAAATTAGGTAGGTTATGTGTTTTATCATTAAAAATCTACTAACACAACTACTCATAATTCACCAACAAAAATCAGCATAAAACTCTCATGAAAGTTTGATCCAACTAAAATTCTATCCATCCAGCACTAAAAAAGGAAAAGGAGAAAGTTGCTTACCGCCTGTTGTAGTCCACAACCTTTATGCAGGCAAAGGGCAAGTTGATACTGTGCCCGTGCATGACCCGCCAAGGCAGCTTGATACAACCACTTTTCAGCTTCCTCTGGCTTTGGAGGTTGTGCTGCACGTGATAATAATCAAAGAGGTTTGACATTGTCAACTGCCATCAAGAAACCTAAATTCTAGCGTTCAATACAGGTATAAAAAAAAAAAATTAAAGCAAATCAATTGACCAAAATAACATTACAATGCACACGGTTTAGCAAACTACTAATGCTCCTCCAAGGTATTTTAACTATCTATCACTATCAGCAAACGCTAGGATTCCATTGCTGTTTCTGGTGATGTAAATTTCGACATCATATGAATTCAAACTATTTGAGAATTTTCCCTGTTCCTTAAACACTAACAATCAAAAGCTGTAAAAAATTGAGAGAAATGATGAATTTACCTTGTAAGTAAGAAATTGCCAAATTGCACTGGCCAGCAGGATCACCAAGCTCAGCCGCTTTCTTATAAAAGCCAATAGCCGTCTCCTTCTTGCCTAATTCCCAATATATTAGACCGGCATCGACCATAGCCAAAGTGGAGCCCCGTTCCGCGCCTTTTAGGAAGGAGTCGAGAGCCTTATCCAAGTTTTTGCGAACACCGCCGCGCCCGTGCTTGAACCGCTTTCCCCACATCAGTAACACCATCGCCTCTCTCAAAGGCCGAAGCGCGTCACTCCATGATTTACACACCAGTGAAGCCGCCCGAAGTTGAGGATGCGTGAAAGAGGCCGCGATTTTTGTCAAGATATCGAACGGTAAGGTTGCAAAATCATGACCGTCCGTTGATTGTGATGATCTTGAGTAGAAGTGGTGGCTATGCCGCTTGATTTTACTCTTGTGCGTGCTGGAACTCGAATAGAGTTCTCGTCGGCGGTTGTCACCGTTGCTTTTTGTTAGCGGAAGCGCTGTGAAACGTGAGCCCTCCGATCGATCCGGCCATGTTCTTTGCTTCATCGTGTCATTTCGTAACAGTTATGTAAGTGAGAAGCATTTACAAATAATAATTACAATTTTGTTTAACTAATTAATTGGCCTCTGAAAAATATATAATAATAATAAAAATAAAAATAATTGGTTTTATTATGTCGGCGTAGTTCAAGATCCGAACATACATTTAAGGATCTGATAAACATAGCATGTTATATAAATTTTTTTTTTTTTTTTTTTTGCCGAAAATTATGTTAAATAGCACTATTTCTACGAATGAGTTGAAAAAAAAATTCGTTAGCCCCGATATAGCATTCTGATTCGGAAAAAAATTGTTTAATTATGTGGGCTTAGTTCAAGATTTTTTTTTTTTTTTTACCGAAATATTCGGACAACTTGTTTACAGCTCAACTAATCTTTGAAAGCCTAAAATTAACAATCGGATAAACTTAAAGTGATTACCCGTATTAATAATTGAGGTGAATCGAATTCAAGACCTCTTAGGTAATATCTCAAGAATCCTTATTTAACTATCGATTGGTTCATAATTCAAGATTCGAACATATATTTTATAATATTTTTTTTCTTTTATAGTAATTTTATCTAAAATTAAACTTATTAAAAAAAAAAAATGCGGGTTATAGATAAAAAGTGCAGGGACTAAAGATCACCGCCCTAAAATGAGCCTAGCTCAAACCAATAAAAGCCTAACAGGCTGGAAAAACCTCATCAACTTGTCTTTCACTCCACAAGTTAACTTTCACTACCTACAAAATAAGAGATTTACTTCTTGAAGAATCAAGATGGACCATTAAGGACCATAGTACATAACCAAATTGCAGACATAATATCTTGTAGTATCCATATCACGCTCACAAGGTGTTGATACAGAAATCTGCACTAATCAGAGAATTCTAATTGACCCTGTCGAAACCAGAATGGATGTGCGTGTGATTTAATAAAAATCAGCGATGAATAAAAAAGAAAGTCATAAATAAGAATACAAAACAATTTTTAAAGTGGTTCGACAAGTTAGAACTTGAGTCTACATCCATTGTTATCTTATTGTTTTTGAGAGCTTACAAAGAACAATATAATTCCTAGGAAAATTTGCTTAGAACCATTGTCCAGCCCCTCGAAAACAAGTTGTGATGGGTTTGTATAGCACCCATTTACAAGATAGAGTTGAGATAAGATTCAAATACGTAGAATTAGAAAGCTGCATGATCTTCAACTACCTTAGTTGCACTCTAAGTCAATTTGAATATCTTCCTTCCAAATTGAGTCAATCTAAATATCTTCTCTCCTAATAGGGAATTATCCTTTCCAGATTGACCACACAACAATAGCCCCCCAGTTTTTGGAGTGCGTAATTGTGCTTCAAAAACTCATGTCTTTATTCTGGATGGTTGTTGCACTATAGGCTGCACTCTTGAACTAAAGAACTTGAATTATGCTTGCCGTGATCTAAGAGATCTAAGAGATCTTGAACACGTGATCTGAGCGAATAAGCGAGCTTATGGGATTAATTAGAGAGCATAAAGAGCTTGATCTAAGAGAATAGGGAGCTCGATTAGAGAGCATAAGGAGCTCGATCTGAGAGTGCGAGGAGTTCGATTAGAAAGTACGAAAAGCTTGATCTGAGAGCATAGCTTGATTAGAAAGCATGGAGAGCTTGATCTGAGAGCATAGCTCGATCAGAAAGCATGTAAAGCTTGATCTGAGATCATAACCTAATAAAAAAGCATGGAGAGCTTGATTTGAGAGCATTGCTCAATTAGAAAGTATGGAGAGCTTGATCTGAGAGCATAGCTCGATCAGAAAGCATGGAGAGCTTGATCTAAGAGCATAGCTCGATCAGAAAGCATGAAGAGCTTGATCTAAAAGCATTGCTCGATGAGAAAGCATGGAAAGTTTGATCTGAGAGCATTGCTCAATCAGAAAACATGCATAACTTGATCTGAGAGCATTCCTTGATTAGAAAGCATGGAGAGCTTGATCTGAGAGCATAGCTCGATCAAAAAGCGTAGAGAGCTTGATCTGAAAGCATAGTTCGATCAGAAAGCATTAGAGTTTAATCTGAGAGCATTGCTCGATCAGAAAACATTGAGAGCTTGATTTGAGAGCATAGCTCAATCAAAAAGCATGGAGAGTTTAATCTGAGAGCATTGCTCGATCAAAAAGCTTGGAGAGCTGGATCTGAGAGCATTGCTCGATCAGAAAGCTTGGAGAGCTTAATCTGAGAGCATTGCTTGATAAAAAAGCATTGAGAGCATATCTCGATTAGAAAGCTTGGAGAGTTTGATCTGAGAGCATAGCTCGATCAGAAAGTGTGGAGAGCTTGATCTGAGACAGAGCTCGATCAGAAAGCGTGAAGAGTTTGATCTGAGAGCATAGCTCGATCAGAAAACATGAAGAGGTTGATCTGAGAGCATAACTTGATCAGAAAACATGAAAAGCTTGAGAGCTCAATAGCTTGAGAGATTGAGAGATTGAGAGCTTGAGAGCTCGACAGCTTAGGAGCTTGAGAGCTAAAGAGCTACCTTGAGAGCTAAAGAGCTACCTTGAGAGCTCGATAACTTGGAAGCTAGAGAGCTAGCTTAAAGTTCGAGAGCTTGAGAGCTAGAAAGCTAGCTTCAGAGCTTGAGAGCTTCAGAGCTTGAGAGCTAGAGAGCTTGAGAGCTAGAAAGCTAGCTTGAGAGCTCGATAGCTTGGGAGCTAAAGAGCTAGCTTAAGAGTTTGATAAGCTTGGGAGCTTGAGAGCTATAGAGCTAGCGAGCTCTTTCTAACCTGAGAGATTTGAGCAAGCAATCTGAGCGATCTGGCCACGCTATCTGAAATTGAAGATCAAAGTGATCTAAGTGCGCAATCTGAGCAATCTGACCATGTGATCTGAGAACTCTGCTTTAGAATAGGCTTTAGTATTTTGATGATAAGTTGAGTTACAGACCTCAGATTTGGATGATTCTTGGACCGTCAGAAAGCTAACTCAAAGGGCTCCAATTCTTTTGTTTATTGCTTAGCTAGATTCAGACTTTATCCTGCTCAGATTTTCATACTTGGTAACATGATTCTAGAAAAAGAAGCTGGGATTTACTGAAGAAGTTGAGACTTCTGGAAAAACATGGAAAACCAATGTGAATTAGGCCCCCATTCTAACGCCAAAATGTTGATACATAAATCTTCACCAACCAGAGACAGTCATAAATAAGAACACAAGACAATTTTTAAAGTGGTTCGACAAATAAGAATTTGAGCCTACGTCCACTGCTATCTTATTGTTTTTGAAAGCTTACAAAGAATAATATAATTCCTAGGAAAATTTGCTTGGAACAATTGCCCAGCCCCCCGAAAACAAGTTGTGATGGGTTTATATAGCACTCATTTACATAATAGAGTTGAGATAAGATTCAAATACGTAGAATTAGGAAGTTGCATGATCTTCGGCTACCTTAGTGGAGTCTAAGTCAATCTGAATATCTTTCTTCCAAATTGAGCCAATCTAAATATCTTCTTTCCTAATAGGGAATTATCCTCTCCGAATTGACTGCACAACACAAGGTATACGTGTCCTACTCTCAATGGAATGATCTCAAGAGGGGACCAATCGTAGCACACCTCACAAGGACATGTGAAGTAATCACGACATTAACCTTAATACTACATGGGGCGTTTGGATCATATAATGTTTTTTTATCTTAGTAATAAGATTAATGGAAAGAAAGATTACATTGTAGATTACCGGGTTTAAATTATTATTGTGCTTGGTTCAATTGGGATGTATTAATAATTAGTGTGTTTGGTTGACAGTAATAACAGATATCCTGAAATACCCTTTTACTAGAATGCTCTTAGGATGATTACTTGTATTACTAATTAATCTGTTTGGTTGGCTGTAAGAGCAGATGCCTTGATTACATTTACTAAATGCTCTTTAGATGATTACTGGATATAAATAATTAATGTGTTTGGTTAATAAAAGAAATAATCAATTAACAAAATTCTTTTTCTAATATTTTAGCCAATTATTTAATTGTTAAGTCATTGTCGAGAGCAAACAGATGGAGACAAAGACCCGAGGTTGCTGCGACAGAGATGGTCGACCAACGGCAGAGGAAAGAGGGAGAAGTTAGACTAACGAACACAAACAAAATAGAAAACGAAAAATACAATGGAAAGAGGGCGAGGGATTTATAGAAAATGGTGAATGGAGTGTTGTCCGAATCAAACAAATGGAGAAGAAGACTCGAGGTGCTGTAGCAAAGATGGTCAACCAACGGCAGAGGCAAGAGTGAGATCTTAGACTAATGAACGCAAAACAAACCCAAAATGAAAAATACAATGGAAAGAGGGCATTTGACTTATCGAAAAGGGTGATCAGAGTGATGAAGTCACGAACGAGATCAAGAAGAAGAAGATCAGCGGCGGCGTTGGAGGTTTAGGGCAGAGTCTTAGTCGACATGTATATTAGGGCATATTGGTCACAATATGCAAATATGTGAGGATAATATGGGTACACCAATATTTCGTGGCATTTATGAAAATATTGATATAAGCAGGGCAATTTTGTCTGAAAAATTAAAAAACTAAGGACAAATCCGTCTTCTTGTGCAAATTGGGTGTTTTGTAATTATTAACAAAGCCAAGGATATTTTTGTCCAAATTGTCCACTGTTTTGGGGCAAATTGGACAGAAATTTGGATTACTAAAGTAATATTTTAATAACACCCTCCTCCAGGTAATATTATTCCCAGCGATTTATCCCAAATTTGGCACTGTTTAACATTTTTCTTTTCCGAAAATGTTTTTTTTTACAAAACAACCAAATATAGTTATCTACCCAATTTAAAATATATTACCACCATTATATAATATCAATCTGATCCAAACGCCCCTATAAGGTACACTACAATTCATTTGGAAGTAATTTCATCTGTTTTATCTTCTTTGCCGAGGAAGTGACCAGGTTTCTTACAATAATTATAGGTCAACTGTTTAGGTCCTAAAGTACTATAATTAACTGCATGAAATAAAGTAGATGAGATAGCCATAACAACATCAGTCTAAGGTGTCTTTAGGGTGTTGAACTGGGATTCCTCTGAAATCGGATGAGCAAAAGTTGTACCAAAGGTTGGTGTTGCGGACAAATGCAATAAATAAGCATGAGTATTCTCATGGTCATGATGGAGACCCATGAGGAACTAAATCAGGCCATCTTGTTCATGTGTGTAAGTACAAGCTGAGCATCGTTTTGATTCAAAAATACATGTTCAGATTGAGCCAACTGATCCCAATAGCTAGACATTTTAACATAATAGTCACGAACCAACTGTGCAGATTCTTGCTTCATATTAACAAGCGCGTTCCAAACCTAATGCTGGTGAACAAGTACACTGATAAAATAACGAATGTATAACAAGTCCAAAACATCTTTAGCTATGTCATAGTTACCAAATTCCTAATAAAGACTTGGAACAGAGGTATTACGGAACCAAGTAATTATATGATGAATTTTGTTGTCCCAGTCCTCAAGGCGATCCTAAAAATTTAAAAATTTATATTAGTTTCATGCTCCCTTTGTTTGAGTTCTTTGATATCACCGGTAATATAATGCCACAATTTGCTTCAAGAAACTCCTCATGTCCAAAGACAACATCAATAGGTCTAACAACCTCAAAAGGAGGCACATCAGAACCCATTAACATAGGTGAATGAAACCAACACCACCAGCAAATAACACCCAATAAGCACAAATACAAATACTTCCAAAGTGCAAATAACTGCACCAGCCAAATAGCAACCAAACAGAAAATAACAACACCAACAAGCCACTCAAATTTAAACAGCCCTGAAAGTTTATAATCCTACAAAAACACCCCCAATAAAACCTTGTAGGTTTGAAAATTTTCAAACAAGCCCCTAAAATCTAAATTGATTTAAGAAAATCAGAAAGATTGGCGGCAGATCTGAGGAGATCGACGGCAAAAAGTGATCGAAACTGGCAATCTAGAGATGACTCTAATACCAAGTTATTTTTTGGTGAAAAAAGTTCACTTTATATCTCTGAAATGGTATACATAGATACCGTTCAATAGGAAAGATGATCCTATTAACTTGGTGATGTGGGACAGAAAAACAACTAGAAAACCGTGAACTATATTATGCGCTTAAACCCAAATATAATAATATAATTAACATGGCTGAAGCTTAAATAGAATAATACAATTAATATGTGACTTTCGGAGAGCCTACAACAACCTGAACCTCTAACCTCGTGTGCTGCTTCTTTTTAGGAATTCCAGCGGCTCTTGGGGGAGAAAACCACCACTGAAACACCATTCCACCAATTTAAAAATACATCCTTTACAGATCGAGTCAAAAGGGTTAACGTTTAATGACATTTTTAGGCGTAAACAATAGTATTTTGCAAATGGGACTGTTCATTGAAACTTGTTATGGCTGAATTTTATTAGTTTATACTGGATTCATATTGAATTTTCTTTCTTCTCTTCAATATTTATAGTTTTTTGAACGATTTAAGTTCTTATAATGTGGTGGCTGCTGGAATTTTTAATATGATTAATTCTGGAATTTTTTATTGAAAATACATGTCAATTGAATTTAGACTAAGAAGATTGTGAGTATACCTCCAAATCAATCTAAGTTTCTTATATAAGTGGGTTCTTTGTCCAATATTAATGAAATTGAACCATCTGAGGAAGCGATTGATGGAAACCTTTTGGAAATGGGCTCGACGAAAGATGGATGGTGAATATGATCCAGAAGTCTTGAAAATTGTTACCAGATTGTACATACATATTTAAAAAAAAAAAACGAGTGGGGTTCAGTCAAAGTTGCCAGTTGTTCAAACTTCAAAGATTGTGAAAACGGTGGTCAAGTGGAAGCCCACAAGAGATATCTGGGTCATCGTCCCCACAAACTGAACTGAATTCTTTGTTCCTTTTTGATCCTTCAAGTACCCTTCCAATTCTTCCTCACCCAGTAATGGCCGTGTTTATGGCCCCCACAAATAGACCAATCACGTTGCTTGTCATAAAAATATGACAACCGACTTTCTCTTTAAATTAAATTTATTTTTACATCCGACGGGGCAATGGACATTCGTCTCTATCAGTTTTAAGGGCGATGACTTGCCTGCTAAATTAAATTCCTCTGCTGAAATGACAGTAACTTGATTTGGTTTCCAACTCCATGAATCTATTTAAGTTAAAGAAAGTAATTAAATTCTTGATACAGTATTTTGCAGTGATTAGATAGACATCACGTGAGATATGTGTGTTGTATTCATTCGGTGAAGATATGAATCTCATTAAGTGTGGAGTAGTTCTTTCTATCAACTTCTATAAAATTTTCAATACTATAATAACATGGTTCAGGTTCAGGAACTAACACGACACTCATTTGGAACTTGATTTATTCCTTGGCAATAAAATCCCGTCTCCCTCGACAGTAAAAACGAAAATAAAAAAGAATATGCACATATAATTGCCAAAGATATGTTATGGTTATCCCTTACATGTGGTCTCCAATAATAGCACTTTTAGCAATATAATCTAATTCATCCTAACAGCCCCACTATGTGCCAAGTAAGATTTTGAGGACTTTATTATACGTGTTGAAATATAATTGCCTCAGTGACGGCTCCGATCCCTAAAAAGCTTTGTTAAATATTGTACAAAATAAACTCCAGATTAGGTGAACTTCGCTAATGGTGTAGCTTATCATGCACATTCTCACCCGATTAAACTAATGGGGGTTTTTCACCTTTTTGTTAAACATTCCATATAAAAATAACACACTTGGAAGATATATATATATAAGTGGGTTTGTCAATTATTGGTGCGCAAAGCTTGAGCTAGCTTAGCTTCAAAGTGTGTGTTAAAATAAGGTCCATTCAAAAGCACATAGGATTCTAATCCACCAAGCCACATGTTGTTTGTCTGTTTTTCTTGGGTTATCAGAAACGCATTAGGGCCGGAGAACCTTCCCTTCAAAGCAAAATTAATTAAGAGACTAAACTCTTCAAGTCTAAAGATGGGCATTGGGTGTTGGTTTATGGCTTAAGGTTTTGTGGGGTTAATTTTGTTTTAGTCAATCCAACCAACTGAGCATCCGTGCAGCATCTTCTTGCCATTGAAAAGGATTTACCTTTACTTTACGATTGACATCTTTTGGGTTCTTAGCTAGATGTTGACTTGCATGTGTCATGCCTACTCCCACGCATGAACATCAACAGTTTACACAAACAGGTGAAGAAGAAGATAATTAAGACGAAAGAAAAGAAAAATCAACCCTGATCCTCACCATAAATAACTTCAAAGACTGATTTTTTTTTTCCTTTTTGTTACTTTAAATATGAAGTGCATGCAGAGAATACATAATATATGCATACTTCAAGGAGATCACCACTGAAAAATTAAGAAAAACAAGTCATAATAAGGCAGCTAAAATGCCATTTTATTTATCTGTAAATTAACCCTGTACATAAACACCTAGCTAGCCACTGCAAAAGGCCTAAAACAAAGGAGAAAAACACTAGTTGGAGTACGCAGGAAAGAAGAAGCATGCAAAGTCATATATAGAAGTCAGATTAAAGCCTCCCAGGACGTTCAATTAGCCCTTTCAACATGGCATTTAAAAACAGTTTCTAAATCTGGAGGAGTGAAGAACTCCCTAACACCACTATAATTACACTTTAAAGTAGACTTTCTCTTCCTAGGAGCAGGTGGACACGGCAACTTCGGCGGAATTCTCGCTTCGTGACTTGTAGGAGTCGTCGAACACTCTTCATCATCACCATTATTATCCAGTTCTTTCTCCCCGGACCTCGTGTATATCGGCTTCAGAGGAGCCCGTAAAGGAATTCCAGCAATAAGCCATCTTTTGCCTTCCGCTTCTAGCCCGCCATCGACTTGTGGCTTCCCTGATAACCCCATATCTTGTAACCAACTGAAACTCAATTTCAAGTATATATTATAAGAGGAAATAAGAATAAAGACGAAAGAATAAAGATGGGTGCTTTCTATGTAGGGATTGGTAGAGAATCAAAAGAAACCAGAAGGAAAGTGTAGTTGTTTTGAGGATTAATGAAGAAGAAAAAAATTAAAAAGATCAGAAAAGATGCGAGGGAAAAAAATAAAAGAAAAGGAGATTTTTTTTGATATAGGAATTGCTGGTTCAGTGAAAGTGCTTTTAAGAAGCTATAGGTTTATGAGGAACATGGCTGAAATAGAGAAAGCAAGACAGTAATGTAAAAGGCTTTAAATACAAGGTTGAGTAATGTTCAGTGTTTCAAGGGGCTTACGTCACCCCTTGATGTTTAATTAAATAACAAACATCCCTTTTAGATTTGAAAAATAACAGAAATCCTTATGTCGTTAGTGAGGCGTTAGAATTTATAACATGGTGGATTAATAGATATTTACGAAATTGCCCCACTACCATTTATTTTAACACCAAAAATTTGACAATAGGGAGATTTCTGTTATTAGTAAAACTATAGAGGGTTACATGGAGAGTTAATTATAGCTAGGGGGGATTGTTGTTAAAATCCATGTTTCAATGTTTCAAACTTTCGATCTTTCAATTCTTATACCAATCAAAAGGAGAGAGAAAAAGGGAACCCGAGGAAGCTCGTGACATAAGATGATAGTATAATTAGTTTATTTATTTAACCACCTCAAATTAATAATAAGAATAAGAGATGGTGCCCGTGAAAAAAAATACCTGACCGCGGGCAGCAGCAAGGGATTGACTTGGATTTTGGCGCCAAAAAATTTAGGGTGGGGCCATGGGATCATGAACAGTCACTGTGATTTATTCGCTCNATTAGTAAAACTATAGATGGTTATTCAAGTAGTTAATTATAGCTGAGGGGGATTCTTGTTAAAATCCATGTTTCAATGTTTCAAACTTTCGATCTTTCAATTCTTATACCAATCAAAAGGAGAGAGAAAAAGGGAACCCGAGGAAGCTCGTGACATAAGATGATAGTATAATTAGTTTATTTATTTCAAATTAATAATAAGAATAAGAGATGGTGCCCGTGAAAAAAAATACCTGACCGCGGGCAGCAGCAAGGGATTGACTTGGATTTTGGCGCCAAAAAATTTAGGGTGGGGCCATGGGATCATGAACAGTCACTGTGATTTATTCGTTCCCTTTCCTTTTCTTTTAATTTTTTGACATCAAGGGCCGTTGGTGATAGTGATTGGCGTTTGGGATCATAGGGCTGACTCACCATCACCTCCTATTTTTAGAGTGGAACATATCCTTTATTACGTAATTAATTTTTTACCATCTACTTGACAATTCATTTATTTTTGATTCAATCCATTTATTTATTTTCAAATTTGAATTTGAAAAGAATAGAGAATTTTATTTTCTTAGATAAACAAATCCAAGTTCAAAAAAGTTTTTTCTCAAATTTAATTGTAATAATATCATTTTGAAATTTTAATTTTGTATTATGAAGAAGCAGGAATATATATACATATATATATTGAGGTGTGTAAACCCCTACAATCGAGGGGTAGTTAGAAGCAGGAATATTAGCTGATAAAGGTCTATAAGCCATATGATTATGAATGGGTGGAGAAGTCGAAAAGTAAAATGAGGATAGCAGAAGTGGCCATGCAAAAACAAAGAAAAAAAGCAGTTATACAATCCAAAAGCTACTTTTTAATATTCGAATAACATATGCTTTTAGATCTGAAAATACTTCCATTACCAATTGTCATTCCAGTTGGTAAATGTCAAATCACTGTAACATGCTGGTGTGGTGTCCCTTCTGTTTGGAGAATCTGGTCTTTCTGACGCAAAATTTAGCTCAACCCAGGATTACTTTTTAATATGTATTAACATTCTATATTTGCATTTGCCATTTGAGAAATTCTCAGGGCTGTTTATTTGAAGCAAAAACACAGATGCAACTAAATTTTTTTAACAAATTTCATCTGTCTCAGCAATTCTGTCTTTTGTCCAGGGACAACCCATGTGCTATAAACGACATGTAGCAACCCTTTAGACTAATTTAGATGATAGATCATAGATCGCCTTGGTTTTTCCTGTTTATTGTTTGCTTAGATATCTAGCTTCAAATTAAGAGTTCCAGTCACCACTGACATATTTGAGAGCCAATAAAACCATAATTTATAGTAGATGGGAACAACAAGAGGTAAAACAAATATACATAGTCAATCTTCAACTTACTGAAGTTTTAGCCAAGCAGGATTAAGGGTTTACAAGCATTTTTAATGGCTTGCTTAGCAGAAAATATAGTACTGTTTCTGGGAATATGAGACATTCCTTACATTCTTGAATAGCCCCAATGGTCTTCATATTGCTCCATGAACTCATCGTTGAACTTCTTGAAACTGGACATGATTTCAGGCATGTCTTCCTCAGCTGGTAAAATGGTTGTCCTCAAGTGGAAGACCCTGGAAGGAGAATTTACCCCATTAAAGAAAGTTAAATTTATGTACTAGTTATAAACAGAATCCTGAAGGATACACTTTCCCAACCCTCAAGGGCTTTAGAAGTATATTATTAGGAACACGTGATCTAGTTCTTGAACTACAGGGTGCAAGGCACAGATTTGTATACTTGGACTGTCAAAAATGACCAAGAGGACCATGAACCACACTATTATATAATCAAAAGTTTTGACAGAGAAGTAGTAATGACATTGTAAAAGAAAGCAATAGCAAATGACCTTTAGACTACCTTATAATTAATTATACCTAAGAAATAATTAAAAGAACAAGGCCAAAAAATCAATTACCCTTCTTTTTGTCCAAATCCTGAACCAGGGACAGTGGAAATGCCAGTAGCTTCCAAAAGCTTGAGACAGTAGAAAACATCAGGAACTTTTCCAGCTTGTTTGGCAGCCTCTATTGCTTTTGGAGGCAAGCGTATTTGAGGGAATGAATACATTGCACCTGAAACAATTTCCTCAATTTTCATACTGTAGCCACGCACTAACTATTGATAAATCTTTATCATGAATGTAGGAAAGTAAAATAGTTATGAGAGTAACTTTATACCTTCAGTGAAATTGCAAACCACATTTCTGCAGCTGTTGAATCCATCAGTCATCATCATTGCTCTCCTCCTCAGTGATTCAATGATCCCTTTACTGCAGGATTTATAATTCAGAGAGAAGAGTTCATTGCCGTCAAAAAGACCACTTATTTTATGATATAGGGGTAATCAAAATTCAGAGACTCAAGTTTTTATGGTTTCAAATCAACTTTTTGGTTCCTTAACATTTGGTTCAAATAACTGGTTTATCAACGAACATATTGAATGGTTTTTGATAATTTTTTTTTTTTTTTTTTCCCAAAAGGATGGCAATAGCAATATTGTAATTTAATGCTCAGTTTAATGGTCACAAGTATCGACCACTAAATGTTGAAAGAGGGAGAAAAAAAAACTCTTGTACAGTTCATTTCAATGAATAACTCAAGCAACAGCATTTATACATTACTAATCAAAGTATATGTACCTTTCCCTAACAAACTGTTCATATGAAATATCTCCCGGCTTGAGTGGATTGACCATCAATCCCATCTGTAAACAGAAAAAAGGAAAATATTCTCTGTAATAACAATTGATCAAAGAATTGGGAGCCCAGTTCAATCTAGAGTAACAAACATATAATATTAAAGTATGACTTACAAATATCTGTGCTGGGACATTTGGACTCAGTGATATTGATGCAATCTTATAAATCTCATCAACTGTCTGCAAGAAAAAATCATGAAAACTAAAATCAATAAGTACTGACATAATTACATTCTATGTTAAAGGACCTTGTTATGTTTCAACTAAATTGCACGTGCAAAAGATTACTACATGAAGCAGTTATTTTTCTTATTTTTCTTTGTGAATACTGTGAAATAGTATTAGTTGAAGAAGAAAAACCAAAAAGTTGGGAGGACGATTCTAGCTTAAATTTGCTTGTTTTCTATACCTTATTCTTTATGGACACAAAACTGTGTATCATCATAACATTACCTTTATTTAAGTCGAGATCCTATTTGACTATGACAACTTCATAAGATTTATAGGCCAAAATTATGGCATTCTTTTACATATCCATACATTTGTAATAAATCGCTGACAAGCAAATCAAAGCACAAGTAAACATTAGAAAATATGGCAGAGACCTTTGGAGGAATATTAGTCATCTCAAAGTATCCACCCCGCTGCCCGCATTCACCAAAATATCCTTTGGAAACAGTGTGGAAAGAAACAAGCTGAATCTCTTTGCTGAAGGGCAGCCCCATATCCATTAGCACCTTCCAATGTTAATAAGGACAATTTAGCATCAACGCAAGCTGAAATTCAAAGGCATACAATTGGGCATAATTAGACTAACAGCATAGAAAAAATACCTTCCTAGAACTGATGAAGGGGCGCTCATCCTGGTAAATATTCTGCTGATAAACCTCATCTCCAAGTAAGACTAAGTTTTCTTGGTAACAGAAGTGCAATATTTCTCTTAGATTGGCTACACTAAGACACTGGCCAGTTGGGTTGCCAGGATTAATAATAACCATTGCTATTACCTGTAAATAGTACAAGGTAAGAAATTCAGTTTGGTAGCAATAAACATTGCATGAAAGGTTTGTCAGTAGCTCAGCTACGAGAAGTGCACACCAAAGCAAGGTAGAGTTTGTGATATTTTTCAAATGGAAGACAATATGTAAATCTTGGAGAGGTGAATGGATGAACTTTGGGAGAATAAGTGTTCCAAGAACTAGCCAAGGAACTTTTGATGTGGTAACTAACTATGATGACTTAGCAACTAATCAGCCAAATTTTAACTGGCCCATCAGTTTTTATTCAGGTCCCATCCTAGTCATTTATGTAGTAAGTTTTCTAGTTCTCATGGAACAGATTTCTCAAATTCCTTAAACAAGCAAGTGGATTGGCATACTAACTGTGATTCCTCTAGAACGAGCTTGTACAACCGACTGGCGAAGGTCATTAACATCAAGTCCCCAATTTGCTGTCTCCTCTAGGTAATAAGGAACAAGAGAACCACCTAATAGAGAAATTGTAGCTGAGTATAGTGGGTACTGTGGAACTGGAACCAGAACCTGGCAAAAAACAAGTTTTCAATTCAAGAACATCGGGAAGTGGCATCATTAGACATGGACTGTTATGCAACCAAGAAGAAAGAGCAATATAGCAGGACACACAAGAACACACAAAAGAAAAAGAAACCCACACCCCACAGAATAGTATAACCATAATTTCAGTCATTAAAAAGAGGTAAATTACCCCATCCCCTTCGCCACGGATAACACAATTTAAAATCTGCATCACTCCCTTGCTAGCACCATCAGTGAGAAATATGAGTTCTGGATCACTGTCACAGGCAAAGAAATGAACAATTTCAATTTGAAACTCTGTTGTTAATAAAAAGATATGTGGAGAGAGTATCAAGCATCATTACCTTGGATAACCATCACGCCTTCCAATGAACTCTGCTACCTCCTTCCTTACTCCAGGAAGACCTCTAGAATCGCTGTAAGCACCTAGACATATGTTACAAGTACAAATTATTGATCTTTGGTTCAATAATGGAGCTTCTTGCTCCCATAATCCAGTGCCTCTATTATTTGATCAACTATAATTCAACAAATTGGTAATGTCGAAACTGTTAAACGCATGTGTGCAACAAGAGAAATTTGAGAGTGGAGACAAGAAATTGGTAAGACTTAAAAAGTAGAGAGGATCAAATAATATATAAGCGGAGGAAATCCTAGGTATGGTCATGAAAAACAGAGAAAAAGAGGGAGAGAATGAATCATGGCAAATGTAGGTTTAAACAAAGAGAGATGGTAGCTCATGCTGCTGTATCTGGCACAAAGCATGATCTTAATCAGTTGAGTATTCCCAACTCTTATAAAATAAAATAAGAAGACACACGAACTCTTGCAGAGAGATTGGAGAAAGCGTAGATTTATCTTGCCATCCATATTAAAAAGATAACACGAAAGATGGATCAAGAAGATACCTAGACCCCCTGTAGTCAGTGAAAGATAATGTTTAGCTCTTGCAATTGCATCTGCAGGGAAAAGCAATCCTACATTCGGATCATCTAGTAAAAATGGAGCCTGGCAAAGAGCAACCACCTGCAATAGAACTTACCTAGGTCAAAACACTGACTGCATGAACAATCCTAACTGTAAAAAAGAACTGAATATTTAAAGAAATTTACACTAAAAAAGACAGTAGAAATCCTACCTGCCGAGGAAAGGTCAATGGCTTCTGTCCGAGGGCATGAGGGTTGCCAACATTTGTAAAAATAATCTGTGGACATGAAATTAGAGCGAAGAGATAAATAGATGAACATTAACAGGAGACAGATAATAAAAAATTATTTTCAACTTTTAACTGTAAAATAAAAAGCAGAAACGTGTCAGAATAAAGAACACAATAATCATGATTAAAAGGCCATCCAAATTATGAGAAACATTCAGCATCTTTCTAAGAAGCAAATAGAACAATAATTATTAAAATTTCCAATATTCCTATAAATCCATGATAAACTATATTTGCTCAGTTATTGAAAACTTAAAGCAACTTCACAAAAGCTTCCAAGAAACATAGCTGACCAGTTCTTCAAAAGAGTCACATGCCATAAAAGTCCATAAGATAAAGCAAAACCTGAAGAACACATGCATACCTTTTTCCCTTCCTTCTGAAGCTCAGAAGCTCGAAGATACAACTCGCCTCTAACAGCATATTGAACTTTCTTCACGTTTTCGTTCAGTGACTCATAGTCTAATGCTTTTGGTGCCATAATGTACTAATCAGTAATCACCCTCTTACAAATATTACCCAACACAAAGAGGGCTGAAGTAGCAACTTATGGACAAAGTTCTCAAGTCTTAACCTGAAAATTTCAGAGAAAATATGGGTTTTATTACAAGCCAGAGAATATATATATATATATAATGACAAATCAAAGTAACACCTTATATACTAAAAATTTGGTTGTGAACATAATATAAGAACAAGCTACAATATTTTCAAACATGAGTTAAATTGGTACATGCAAACCATCCAAAACCACACAATCACCAATCGATTATCAGTGTTTGTAACAAAATGCATAAAAAATAATTATTACAGTAACCAGTTTCAAATACGACTTGCTATCAACCAATACACTGAGAACTGTAAACATCTAAAATTAAACCAAATCGTGGAAAAATTACAATTTATTCCAAACAATAAATGAAGCCAGCACAAATTCACTCTTGAAAATTGTAAAATTTATGCAATACCTGAAAGCTAGCAAATTTGATAAACGAAAACATCAAAAAGCAAAGCGTATCAGCTGATGCAAATTCAACCACAACCCTGTTATTCAAATGAAAAATAATCACCAGACTCAGCCTAACAAACTTCAAAACAGAGTGTTCTTTTACAATCAAAAGTACGAACCAAACAATAAATCAAGGCAAATTCAAAAAACACAAGCCAATGATCAATGAGCGATCATCCATCAAAATCATAGTAAATAGCCCCAAAAAAAAGGGGATCATAAAAATTGAAGAAAATAGTACCCCAAATTTCTCGAAGAAACTTAAATGGTTAACATAAATCATGAACCAAAATTTGTTATCTCATGTGAATTTCAAAGAGATCATCTACAGTAAAGTTAGTTACCTGGACACTTAATCGAGAGTTGTTTGAAGAAGATTTGATGGTGGGCTCCGTGGAGTTGAGCCTAAGTTTGAAATAAATGTGCCCACAGTGATACAAGTGAAGACTGTGCAATGTGTGTCAGATATAAATTCCGAGGGCTTAGTGTCAGATAATAAAATATAGATAATTATAGTATATAACCAGAGCCACTGAAAAGTGGTAGATGGATTATCCCAGTTAATGATTTAAGAGAAAGGGATAAAGTTCATGGAAGAAGTGTGGTGTAGCTTCAAGCTAAGAGTTATTGGTTGATATTGAGTCGAGGCTATGGGGGTCTGCTTCGTCTGACACATTATACATTTGTCACTCTCGAAAGTGTTGTGGTCGATATTTGTTTGTTGATTTCTCTCTGTTGGGTTGGGCAATCATTTATGTTTTATTTTCCATATTATTTTTTTTTAAGCTGGGCCGAAAAGAACAACATTATTACATAAAAGGAATAATGAAAAGGGGAGAAATGGAATGAGTGTTCAAATTATGCAGTAATCATATGTCCTGGTATGATCTCTTCTCCACCAACTCCCGTGATAATTTCTTAATTTTGAATATTGTGTTTTTCTAAAATAGTAGGTGCCACGTGATTTTTGTTTGTTCTTTTTCTTTTTCATATAGGCTTCAAAACCTGTTACATTGTTGGATGGACTTCATCTAAACATAGCCCAATAACTTTGGCGATTGCAGACCCACGGCTTCACTAAGATATATTGATACAGAGCAAAAAGGGTTGGTTAAGGGATGTTGGTCGTCTTTGATGTATCACATCGAATAGTATTTTATTGCATAAAACTATATGATATTATTATACAAATTACAGTGACATATTTGACGCTTCATTACATTATATTCGTTTATCTTCAGTTTTCAATTAAATTTTTAGCAAGTATTTATAGAAATTTATTATTCATTTGAAAATTTAATTCTTTTTACTTTAACTTAAATTTAAATTACTTCTTAAAAAAAAATTTACAAACAAAAATTTTAATTTTAAAATCAATGACAAAGACTCAGATTTTTTAACACTAAAAGAATATTAAACAAATAAAAAATATTTTTCTATTTTATTTTAAAATAATAATTATATATTTAATAAAGTAACTAATTAATTTATTAAACTTATCAAAGTAAATAAAATAGCACAATTCATCCATTAACCCACACTTTTACTTTTTATTAGTTAACACAACGTTAAATATTTGTAATTACTTTGGTTAATACAATGCAAATTTTCTATCAAACACTGTAAAGTATTATTTACTACTATAAGGTGCTCTTTATACTATACAATGTTGCGCACCAAACATGCACATATTGTATTATTCCATTTACTTTAACAATTTTAATATACTAATTAATTATTATAGAATTTTCTTTGAAATATATAGATAATTATTGATTTAAAATAAATTTTATATTTTTTATATTGTTAATAAATTGTTTTTTTCCTTCATTTTTTCTGTTATTTAAAAAAATTATAGGAAGAATAAAGTTTTTTTAATGAATTATTAAATTTGAATAAAATACTTTATTATATTTTAATTGAAAAACTAAAATAAATTAATACAACAATATTAAATATTTTACTATATTTTGTATAGTATTACATAATACTATGCAACACAAATCATACAATACATTGTTATATTATATAATAGTGGCTTAAAATATAAACACCCTTCAAGTTTAATATAAGTAAATTATACCCACAGATTTAAACAAGTGATTACAAGCACAAATGTTATAATAAATTGTTATAATCATGGTTATCAAATAGCATATCGTATCGTGTATCGAAAACTTAGGCTTCATTTATTTTGCTTTTGGGAATACTATTATTAGTATTTCCAAAAAAGTTAAACAGTAAAATGTCATTATTCCCAAAATATTATTCTATATTTTTCAATTTCTTTTAAACATTTTAAATTTGTTAATTTAACTAAACACCCCCAAATATTTTTTTTAGAAATTGCAAAAACACTCCGGCCACCCTCCAGCAATGGTGGTCGACTGTCTGTATTTAATGGGTGGGTTGGGGGTGTTTTTGTTAACTTTTAATATTTTATCATATGGGTGTTTAGTAAATAAACAAACATATGAGATATTTTTGTTAATTTTCAAATCCTATATCGTAATACCCGCCCAATTTAATTTTTTTCAAAAGATTATTCTAAAAACTTTTATAATAATAAACCAAACGGAGCCCTAATTTTTCAAATCGTGTATGGTATCCTACACCTTTTTCAACAAAAATTAATAAAATAATAAAATTTTCTAAAAATTAATATCATCTTCATGATTAATTAATGAATTTTGTGGTATTATTAGCTTTAAATTATAGTATTACATAATCAAAATTAATCACAAAATTAAGAATCTATATTTTTTCCTCTCAACTATTTATATCATTTTCAAGGTCAATGTCAATAACTACATCTTCAATTGTGTTATTATTATCATGCAAAATGGACAACACATTTTCCTTGCAAAATGGGTAAATGTGGGTAAGTTTTAGTGAACCAAGTTGAGGAACCCGAATCCGACCTAAAAAAGTTTTTAGGCCTTCGACCCAAATTAATAAAGTCATGTCAATTTATAACGATATTTTTAAAGATACCAACGGATACGTATCGTATCATATGATACATATCAATGTATCAAAAGGTTTATGATACACTCTCTGATACGTATCGTTGGCGACCCATATCAAATTATATTGTAGGATACATACAGCATATCGTAGGATACTAATAACCATGGTTATAATATAGTTATCCAAAGACTTATTGACATCCCATTAATTGACTTAAAAGTTAAAAGTCTCATTTCTTAAAGACATTCTATTTCAAAGTTTTAAAATTAGTTTTTTTTTTTTTTCCCTCATGACACCCTTAAATTTCATAAATGCCCTTAATTCTATTTTTTTAATATTTTAAAAGAGTTAACATTTTTTTTAATATACCCCCATCATCATTATTTCTAAAATAAAAGTTTAGATAATTAAATTAAAAGCTAAAAAAAAAAAAGCTAAAAAAAAATCCTCACAAATAATCCCAATAACTTAGTACAGTCAAACAACACATAAAATATATAAATTAATATTGCTACCAATACTTTGAAGAAAAAAAACAACAATAAATTTATATGTAAAGAACTGCTTGTAACATGATATATCCCATTACAAATCTTCTTCTTCCATTAAACAATCTTTTTGGTTTAAGAATAATTGAATAGCATAACGAAAACAAAAATATATATTAGGGTTTATGAGATAACAAATGGATATTAATAATAAAAATTATTAAAAAGATAATTTTAATTATTTAATATATGGATAAATTTCTCATCATACAATTTATTAAAATGTGAGGTTTCTTTAGTCCAATAATGGGGTGTCGATAAATCTACTCTCATCTAAAACCAAAAGGTAAATTGTCTGTTACTCAAATCCATTATTTAACACATAAATTCATTTAAAATGACATAAAAACCATTTTGTCTTATTTGGTTATAAACAAAATAAGCAAATTAATAATTCTATTTAATAAATATAAAATAATATTCTAAAAAAACAATTCACAAGATATGTATGTACATATGTATATATTATCCAACAAAATTAAATTAATAAGTGTTTATATAAGAAAAAAAAAATTCCTTATAATAGATTTTTTTAATGATATAATATTTAAAAATAATATACAAATTATAAAATTAATAAAATAAATGTTAAACAAAATAAACATAAATAACAAACATCTCTCCCTAAATATGATTAAACTGTTGTCAAATCTAATTAATTTTCAGTACATTTCTAACTTTGCTCTTCCAAAAGAAGAATTAGGAATGAAAAGTTACTGTATTTTAACATTTAGACTTGTAATGTTACTTTGTTTAAATTATAAAATATACGCAAAATGTTCACAACGACGTCGTAAAATGACAGTTAAAATAAGACTTTAATTGTTGAAACAGCATGGTTGACGGCAGCCATAGCATGATAACAGAACGTGTCAATAAAAGACACTGACAAATCGCATTGTCGAGATGACAGTCCGTCGACATCTCCTCCTCGAAGATCAGAGCCCAACACAATAGCACTGACTCCACTAATGGAGGCCCACGCCTTTTTCTCCCATAAACCACATTGTTCTCTTTTTACTAAACTCCGCAATCCACACCTCGTTAACCAAAATATTAAACTCCAACCCGTTAGGTGTCATTCTCAGATCAAGAGCTTCGACAATAACAATCAACCTCGTAGATGGAGCTTTGAATTTCTGCGCCAGACGGAGCCTCTTCATGTTATTCAAACCTCCAACTCTCCCGTCTCAATGGCCGCCACTTCCGCTTCCGAATCTGCTTCCAAGGCTGTGAAAAAGGTCTGCCTTTTCTTCTGTCCCGAAACTAAGGCGCTTGCCGAGAGAATTGCCGCGCAGTCCGATGCCATTGAGTTACGGAGCATCAACTGGAGGTAATTTTGCCATTTTCACACTTCTGGTATTTCGATTATGTGATGAATTGCGTAAATGTTACAAAGTCAACCAACTGATATTTTTATTATTCTGATTCTATGGGCCCGCACTCCGGCATCGGCCGCACCGTTACGAAATCAATATTCTGATTGCAATTAACCATGTTTCTTTAATAATATTTGCGTAATTGTAGTATAAATATGGTAATTATACGTAATTGACAACTGAAAAATATTTGGGGTAACTGAAGCTTGTATCCTCATGAAGTTGCAAGTCTAGCTTGTGCTTATATGTGATGCGGTTCTAGAGGAGTCTTGTACAAATTCACTTACTTAGAAGTCTTATTTGTTTGATGAAGAAACTAAATGTAGGTGTAGTTATTGTCTTTTAACATGGTTAATGCAAATTTTATGAATTAGGACATTTGAAGATGGATTTCCCAACTTATTTATACCCAATGCACATGGGATTCGTGGGCACCATGTAGCTTTTCTAGCAGCGTTTAGTTCCCCGGGAAAAATCTTTGAGCAGCTGTCAGTTATCTATGCATTGCCAAAACTGTTCATTTCTTCGTTCACACTTGTGCTTCCCTTTTTCCCTACTGGTACTTCTGAACGCATGGAGGACGAGGGAGATGTTGCAACAGCTTTTACTCTTGCTAGAATCTTGTCAAACATACCCACTTCAAGGGGAGGACCTACTAGCTTAGTCACATTTGACATACATGCATTGCAGGTTTATGGTTGTTTTTAAATACAATTTTTTCAGTCAATTAGCTGTGTGATTCTTTTTTCTTTTATTCTAACAATTTTCTAATTATCTCGCCCTGGATGTTTTGTTGTGTCTTAGGAGAGGTTCTACTTCGGTGACAATATTTTACCCTTCTTTGAGAGTGGGATACCTTTACTAAAAAATAGGCTCCAACAGCTCCCTGATTCGGATAATGTAAGATTTTTCTCTTTTCTTTAGAAGATAGATTTATAGTACAATAATATGTTGTTTTCTAATATGTGGTGAAGGTCATTTAATTCTGATTTCAGAGGCGAGAGTTGGTAAAGAATCCATACAAACAAATAGCGTAGTTTGTGTTAGATCCTAAATAAGGAATTTAAACCCGGATAGTTAGCTGTCTGCCTCTGGTTGATGGTTTTAATCATATTACAGATATTTAGACTGTTAACGATGTGAGTTTATAGTGTTAATTTTTTTTTGATGAAATTTTCCTGAAAAATGTCAAATCTGGAGAATTTCAACTAGAGAAATTTATTTTTTCATGCATAAGGCCTCTGTTTTTATATTTGGCATGTTTGTCTTGACTTTGAAGTCAGTTCTTTTAGTTATTTTTCTACATTTACTTGAAGTACTAATTTTTATTATTTTTCCAGATATCCATTGCTTTTCCTGATGATGGTGCCTGGAAACGATTTCATAAGCAGCTGCAGCATTTCCCCATGGTAATGTATATTATTTATATAAAAAGGATGTTTTAATTCACTGTAATTGTGTTTATCATAAGTCAATTCTCAAAACAGCTGTTAGAATAAATTTAAATGGTATTGAATTCTTTTGCTTCTTTGGAATATAAGTTTCTACACCTTGGAACTGGAGCAAAGGGTTTTGTGTTGCCTGACAAAATACAGGGCATTAGTTGCCGAGAATAATTAAACTTACCTGTTTCTGAGACCATAATCACCATAATTCCTACCATGATGTGACCATGTAAAGAAAGTACATGATGGAATGATGCTTCAATGCATTATTGCCCATTTTTCCTACCGTCAGGGTTTCTGGTGACCCCTGTTGTAGCACTAGCTGGAGTAGGAATATTCTGTATCAATATCTGAAATGGACAGATATGATCCTGCAGATTTCTTTATCAAGGAGAGAAAAAGTGATTGTGTTGAAGGGAACTGCATCATTGTATTTCTGATGGCACCAGATTTTCACAACCATCTGTTTTGGTTATTTTGGTCCCTAGCTTATTTTGAAACTCTTCTCTTATGGACCAGTTTCTTTAAAAATCTGCTTGTGGGGTGCTTTACGAACTGATATGTATTCCAGTTGTAGACATACTTGCATTCCTCACACTGTTCTGCAGTTCTACTGCATAACTGCTTGCTATAATTGTGAACTAGGGTTACTGTATGATTTGCCACACCATATATATGCAGATTGTTTGTAATAAAGTCCGGGAAGGTGACCAAAGATTTGTACGCATCAGGGAGGGAGACCCTCGAGGAAGGCATGTTGTGATTGTTGACGATTTGGTTCAATCAGGTGGCACTCTCATTGAATGTCAGGTATACAATTTCTTTCAGTGTTGCAAATATTTCCTTTTCAACTATATTAGTCCTTGTATAGCTGGAATCTGGATTCTTATACTCCAGATGGAGAAGAAGCATGATTGGGGCAGAGAAAGAAATTTAGCAATTGGTTTCCTATTTCTTTTGGTTAGATGCATAGATTAGAAGTTAAATTTATATCCAAGTCAGGCTGGACCTTTTCCTAGTCCTAATGCAAGACCTGCTTTGAGCTAGACCAACATTCACTCATGATTTCAGCTACTTATTGTAAGAAAACTATAGTTTGACTATAGTTTGGTACTATCCAAATGGTGTGACCATAGTGACCCGTATCATTGGGATAGCTACCATGTAAGAGTTTGTCCAAACTTCAAAACTCATAGAAGCTTATATGAATACTTTTACTTCTGATATCCTTTCCATAAGGTTTGAGATGACAGGGGTACCTCTTAATCTTACATTATCTTCTTTGTTTTAGAAAGTGTTAGCCGCCCATGGAGCAGCAAAAATAAGCGCATACGTGACACATGGGATTTTTCCTAACAGGTCGTGGCAACGATTTGAACCTGATAATGGAGGTATTGCATGCAAACACTCGGTTTGTTATTTTTTTCCTTCATTTTTTCTGTTATTTAAAAAAATTATAGGAAGAATAAAGTTTTTTTAATGAATTATTAAATTTGAATAAAATAATTTATTGTATTTTAATTGAAAAACTAAAATAAATTAATACAACACTACTAAATATTTTACTATATTTTGTACAGTATTACATAATACTATGCAATACAAATTATACAATACATTGTTATATTATATAATAGTGACTTAAAATATAAACACCCTTCAAATTTAATAAAAGTAAATTAGACCCAGAGATTTAAACAAGTGATTACAAGCACAAATGTTATCCAAGGACTTATTGACATCCCATTAATATACTTAAAAGTCTCATTTCTTAAAGACATTCTATTTCAAAGTTTTAAAATTAGTTTTTTTTTAATTTTTCTCATGTCACCCTTAAATTTCATAAATGCCGTTAATTCTATTTTTTTAATATTTTAAAAGAGTTAACATTTTTTTTTTTTAATATACCCCATCATCATTATTTCTAAAATAAAAGTTTAGATAATTAAATTAAAAGTTAAAAAAAAATAAAGCTAAAAATAAATCCTCACAAATAATCCCAATAACTTAGTACAATCAAACAACACATAAAATATATAAATTAATATTGCTACCAATACTTTGAAGAAAAAAATAACAATAAATTTATATGTAAAGTAACCTGATTTATCGCATTACAAATCTTCTTCCTTCATTAAACAATCTTTTTGTTTTAAGAATAATTTAAATAGCATAACAGAAACAAAAATATATATTAGGGTTTATGAGATAACAAATGGATATTAATAATAAAAATTATTAAAAAGATAATTTTAATAATTTAATATATGGATAAATTTGTCATTATAAAATTTATTAAAAAGTGAGGTTCCTTTAGTCCAATAAATAATAATGGGGTGTTGATAAATATATTCTCATCCAAAGCCAAAAGGTAAATTGTCTGTTACTCAAATCCATTATTTAACACATAAATTCATTTAAAATGACATAAAAACCATTTTGTCTTATTTGGTTATAAACAAAATAAGTAAATTAATAATTAGATTTAATAAATATAAAATAATATTCTAAAAAAGCAATTCACAAGATATGTATGTACATATGTATATATTATCCAACAAAATTAAATTAATAAGTGTTTATATAAGAAAAAAAATTCCTTATAATTGATTTTTTTTAATGATATAATATTTTAAAATAATATACAAATTATAAAATTAATAAAATAAATGTTAAACAAAAAAAACATAAATAACAAACATCTCTCCCCAAATATGATTAAACAGTTTTCAAATATAATTAATTTTCAGTACATTTCTAACTTTGCTCTTCCAAAAGAAGAATTAGGAATGAAAAGTTACTGTATTTTAACATTTAGACTTGTAATGTTACTTTGTTTAAATTATAAAATATACGCAAAATGTTCAGAACGACGTCGTAAAATGACAGTTAAAATAAGACTTTAATTGTTGAAACAGCATGGTTGACGGCAGCCATAGCATGATAACAGAACGTGTCAATAAAAGACACTGACAAATCGCATTGTCGAGATGACAGTCCGTCGACATCTCCTCCTCGAAGATCAGAGCCCAACACAATAGCACTGACTCCACTAATGGAGGCCCACGCCTTTTTCTCCCATAAACCACATTGTTCTCTTTTTACTAAACTCCGCAATCCACACCTCGTTAACCAAAATATTAAACTCCAACCCGTTAGGTGTCATTCTCAGATCAAGAGCTTCGACAATAACAATCAACCTCGTAGATGGAGCTTTGAATTTCTGCGCCAGACGGAGCCTCTTCATGTTATTCAAACCTCCAACTCTCCCGTCTCAATGGCCGCCACTTCCGCTTCCGAATCTGCTTCCAAGGCTGTGAAAAAGGTCTGCCTTTTCTTCTGTCCCGAAACTAAGGCGCTTGCCGAGAGAATTGCCGCGCAGTCCGATGCCATTGAGTTACGGAGCATCAACTGGAGGTAATTTTGCCATTTTCACACTTCTGGTATTTCGATTATGTGATGAATTGCGTAAATGTTACAAAGTCAACCAACTGATATTTTTATTATTCTGATTCTATGGGCCCGCACTCCGGCATCGGCCGCACCGTTACGAAATCAATATTCTGATTGCAATTAACCATGTTTCTTTAATAATATTTGCGTAATTGTAGTATAAATATGGTAATTATACGTAATTGACAACTGAAAAATATTTGGGGTAACTGAAGCTTGTATCCTCATGAAGTTGCAAGTCTAGCTTGTGCTTATATGTGATGCGGTTCTAGAGGAGTCTTGTACAAATTCACTTACTTAGAAGTCTTATTTGTTTGATGAAGAAACTAAATGTAGGTGTAGTTATTGTCTTTTAACATGGTTAATGCAAATTTTATGAATTAGGACATTTGAAGATGGATTTCCCAACTTATTTATACCCAATGCACATGGGATTCGTGGGCACCATGTAGCTTTTCTAGCAGCGTTTAGTTCCCCGGGAAAAATCTTTGAGCAGCTGTCAGTTATCTATGCATTGCCAAAACTGTTCATTTCTTCGTTCACACTTGTGCTTCCCTTTTTCCCTACTGGTACTTCTGAACGCATGGAGGACGAGGGAGATGTTGCAACAGCTTTTACTCTTGCTAGAATCTTGTCAAACATACCCACTTCAAGGGGAGGACCTACTAGCTTAGTCACATTTGACATACATGCATTGCAGGTTTATGGTTGTTTTTAAATACAATTTTTTCAGTCAATTAGCTGTGTGATTCTTTTTTCTTTTATTCTAACAATTTTCTAATTATCTCGCCCTGGATGTTTTGTTGTGTCTTAGGAGAGGTTCTACTTCGGTGACAATATTTTACCCTTCTTTGAGAGTGGGATACCTTTACTAAAAAATAGGCTCCAACAGCTCCCTGATTCGGATAATGTAAGATTTTTCTCTTTTCTTTAGAAGATAGATTTATAGTACAATAATATGTTGTTTTCTAATATGTGGTGAAGGTCATTTAATTCTGATTTCAGAGGCGAGAGTTGGTAAAGAATCCATACAAACAAATAGCGTAGTTTGTGTTAGATCCTAAATAAGGAATTTAAACCCGGATAGTTAGCTGTCTGCCTCTGGTTGATGGTTTTAATCATATTACAGATATTTAGACTGTTAACGATGTGAGTTTATAGTGTTAATTTTTTTTTGATGAAATTTTCCTGAAAAATGTCAAATCTGGAGAATTTCAACTAGAGAAATTTATTTTTTCATGCATAAGGCCTCTGTTTTTATATTTGGCATGTTTGTCTTGACTTTGAAGTCAGTTCTTTTAGTTATTTTTCTACATTTACTTGAAGTACTAATTTTTATTATTTTTCCAGATATCCATTGCTTTTCCTGATGATGGTGCCTGGAAACGATTTCATAAGCAGCTGCAGCATTTCCCCATGGTACTGTATATTATTTATATAAAAAGGATGTTTTAATTCACTGTAATTGTGTTTATCATAAGTCAATTCTCAAAACAGCTGTTAGAATAAATTTAAATGGTATTGAATTCTTTTGTTTCTTTGGAATATAAGTTTCTACACCTTGGAACTGGAGCAAGGGGTTCTGTGTTGCCTGACAAAATACAGGGCATTAGTTGCCGAGAATAATTAAATTTACCTGTTTCTGAGACCATAATCACCATAATTCCTACCATGATGTGACCATGTAAAGAAAGTACATGATGGAATGATGCTTCAATGCATTATTGCCCATTTTTCCTACCATCAGGGTTTCTGGTGACCCCTGTTGTAGCACTAGCTGGAGTAGGAATATTCTGTATCAATATCTGAAATGGACAGATATGATCCTGCAGATTTCTTTATCAAGGAGAGAAAAAGTGATTGTGTTGAAGGGAACTGCATCATTGTATTTCTGATGGCACCAGATTTTCACAACCATCTGTTTTGGTTATTTTGGTCCCTAGCTTATTTTGAAACTCTTCTCTTATGGACCAGTTTCTTTAAAAATCTGCTTGTGGGGTGCTTTACGAACTGATATGTATTCCAGTTGTAGACATACTTGCATTCCTCACACTGTTCTGCAGTTCTACTGCATAACTGCTTGCTATAATTGTGAACTAGGGTTACTGTATGATTTGCCACACCATATATATGCAGATTGTTTGTAATAAAGTCCGGGAAGGTGACCAAAGATTTGTACGCATCAGGGAGGGAGACCCTCGAGGAAGGCATGTTGTGATTGTTGACGATTTGGTTCAATCAGGTGGCACTCTCATTGAATGTCAGGTATACAATTTCTTTCAGTGTTGCAAATATTTCCTTTTCAACTATATTAGTCCTTGTATAGCTGGAATCTGGATTCTTATACTCCAGATGGAGAAGAAGCATGATTGGGGCAGAGAAAGAAATTTAGCAATTGGTTTCCTATTTCTTTTGGTTAGATGCATAGATTAGAAGTTAAATTTATATCCAAGTCAGGCTGGACCTTTTCCTAGTCCTAATGCAAGACCTGCTTTGAGCTAGACCAACATTCACTCATGATTTCAGCTACTTATTGTAAGAAAACTATAGTTTGACTATAGTTTGGTACTATCCAAATGGTGTGACCATAGTGACCCGTATCATTGGGATAGCTACCATGTAAGAGTTTGTCCAAACTTCAAAACTCATAGAAGCTTATATGAATACTTTTACTTCTGATATCCTTTCCATAAGGTTTGAGATGACAGGGGTACCTCTTAATCTTACATTATCTTCTTTGTTTTAGAAAGTGTTAGCCGCCCATGGAGCAGCAAAAATAAGCGCATACGTGACACATGGGATTTTTCCTAACAGGTCGTGGCAACGATTTGAACCTGATAATGGAGGTATTGCATGCAAACACTCGGTTGCATGTTGATCACAAGTCAATTAATTTGGTTTTTTTTTTTTTCCTTTTGCATTTCCCATTCCATTGAATAAAAGTGATATTCATCTGTGTTAATTTTATGTAGGGAACCCAGAGCTTGGACTGACCTACTTCTGGATTACAGACTCCTGCCCAGTGACAGTGAGAGAAGTGGGTGAACAAACCACATTTGAAGTTCTGGTCTTTCTGTCCATAGCAGCTGCCCTTCAGATTAAAAAGGAGTAGAAACATCTAGTAGTATAGCAGCTAATTCTTGTGTGGGGATTTTCTTCTTTACCTTTTCTACTATTAGTATCATAGAGTAATAAGAGGTAAGAAACTTTGAGGTAGCGGGAATATTTGAATTTCATTTTATGCTTTTATTTGCACCCAACTGTGGTATATGCTATGGATAAATTCATCTAATATTTTTTGCAATTTGAGATCGTGTGAGTGGCGGAGGCTCCCTACTAGGGCTTGGTGAAGCGCGGCCTGTTGTACAAAAATAAGCCCCGGTGTACTGCTGAAAGAAACCCACACGATGAAATCCAAACCATACTGATAAGATGTAGGCTGGGCTGGGTGGGCTGGGCTGGGCTGGGCTTGGACTGGTTTATACATGGTTTATAAATTTATACTTTTAAACCGCAGGATTATATGCCAAATTGAGGTGTTTTAAGTCTATCTAATCTCTTTTTAAGATAATTGTAAAAACTTTTAGAATGAATGTTTGACGAAAAGGGCTTAAATATCACTTAGACAGTGAATTTTACAGCACTCCAAATTCATTTCCGTTATGAATAAATGGAACCAACATCAATGTTTTAAAAACAATCGGGGTGAAACCTGGCGAAGTTGCTGGGTCCAGGTTGACCGGCAGGTCAAATCGGATAACAATTTCTAAAATTCAACAAATACACCCCTAAAAATTCGTTAAACCTATAGGTTTGAAATTTATCAAAGACACCGTAAATACAAATCGGTCAACGATTGGTGGTGACGATGACACCCCAATGCAATTCTAATATCACGGATGCCGACAGACAAACCCCCCCCCCCCCCCCCCCCTCGAACCTGGCGAAGTGTCGACCAGGTGACCGGCAAGTCAAATCGGGTAACAATTTCTAAAATTCAACAAATACCCCTAAAAATTTGTTAAGTACCTATAAGTTTGAAATTTATCAAAGACACCAATTACAAATCGGTCAACGATTGGTTGGTGGCGATAACACCCCAATGCAATTCCAATCTCACCCACCCTCTTGTGGGACCAAATTCACCTTGAAAGTATCCCCTCTTCCTGTCAACAAAAACCCACCTAACTCCACCCCGTAGCCTCGCCAATCATCGGTTGTTGCCGTCGCCAGTTTTTTTCAATTTTCGGTCAATTCACTCATTGGAACAACTCCGTCGCCACCATTATACTTAGCGCACTTTCTCTTCAAAAACCCCAACGTCCTGACCTTCAATTGTTCACAAATCATCCAAATTCTAGGGTTTTTGAATAGAAAAAATGTTAATTCGACCCGGTAAAGCTCTCGAGTCCCGGTTAAACTAGTTAAAACAATCGGGCTAGGTCGGGTTTTAAACAATGACTACATGTCACAAAAGCCATTTAGCTATATCAAACTCAACACTTAAGAATCGGAGCTTCTAACATTTTTCTTCTCTTTTGTTGGGCATTTAGTTACACTCCAAACCAATTTTTTCTTGGGTAAATTGTTTCTGCTCCCTAGTGATTTCTGTAACTTTTTTCTTCTATAAATTGCTAAAGCTGAAAAGGAAAAATAAACTAGGTTTCCATCTTTATTAGGCTTCAAAAATTTAATTTCCATGTCAGCTGCCACTAAAAAATCCACAATTGAGAAACAAAAACCAATTAGCTCATAGAGATTTTCCCAATGACATTATAGAAGAAACAAAGTTTAAAAACAGTAACTACCAATAAGGCGTGTAATTATTGCCCTACTCTTTCTTTTGTCACATTCATTTGTCAGACCCAAAACTTGCTACAAAAAATAAAAAACAAAAGAAGTATGAAGAAGCGACCACCACTCACTTCAACTTGTTGGAGATCTTTATGTAATTTAAGAGCCTTCTGAGAGCCTTACCACTATCAATGGCCTCTCTGGCTCTATCCATTACAACTGATACATCTTCTGCACCTTCACATCCCAGCAAGTGATCCACCATTCCGGCATTTAAAACAATTCGATCATATGTAGGTCCTTTTTCACCACCAAGAGCTGACAAACCCAACTCTATATTCTTTGAAACCTGAAATTACCGAAATGTAGTCACAAATAAAGTCACTTTTCCACGTTTTCCAATTCAACATCTCATCTTCCCTCATGAACACGAGGATAAACATTTGCCAATTTAGGAAGCAGTTAAGAGAAATAAAAATACTAGCAATGGATCAGAGAAACTTTACTGATCTATCAGTTCTCGGAGTATCAGTGGGCTCAAAACCATAGTCACTGGCATTGACCTCGAGATTGAAACTCTGGCGTGACACCCCTTCAACAACAAAATTTCACAGTTTGGTATTAGTGCCAGAGGAAAGATGCACGTACTTTCAATAGCTAATCAGATAGAATAATGAACTTAACAACATATGTACCAACAAAACCTAGTGTGTTTATCTTCTAATACACAGCATTATAATAAATTGGAGCTAAATACAAACCATCTACTTCAAATGCAGATTCCAAGCTCAGTGAACGGAACCCAGAACAGTAGTTCACAGAAAGCCCTTTCGATGCAATTACTGATCGCATCCTTGTTGTCATTGAGAGTGCACCTTCCTCACCCTGAGCTAACAACATAGTCAGAAAATAAATAACTAATTTCTTAAAGTTACTCTGTTGATGCTTTAAATTAACCTATACTAATGCAAACCATCTTAAGAATCATACATGAATTAATCACCATATATTTTGGAATTAAAGAATTTTCTTTCAAGACAGTTATTTCAAAATTGACAATTGGAAACCTCTGTGATCAATGACGTTTGAAAAACAAAGTTTCAACCTTCACCACCAAACCAGAATGAACACCTCTTCTTTTCATAAGCATCAAAAGTGGCTCTTCATAACCTTCATGATAAAATCCAGCAACAATTGCTTCTCTTCCCCTAGCCTGTTTAGAGAGCAATAGATTACGAGCAGTCAAGCTCTAGAACCAATATAAAATAGAAGTTATCTATACCAAGAACAAAAAAAATTTGGCATGTAAACAAACAACTGAATGAACCATGGCATTCTATTCTGATAATTTCTTCAGATTAAAGTAGCAACAATTGCATACAGAGAACAAAGGGTACAAAAATTTACTTCAGGAACACCTTAATCAGTTAAAGATTCTCAAAATAGTATCTGGTTAGGTATTTCAGGAACGACCACACTAGGAATGCCTCCAGTATCCAGAGATGAAATATAAAATTTCTAAAATATACTTCATACATCCAGAGGCTACGCCTAGCACACAACCCAATCAACATATAATGTGGCTCACCCGCACAAATTGCTGAACCTTTTCAGTTGTTGCCAGAGGAGGGCGTTTCTTTATGTGCTCCCTCAACCCAGTCAATGAATATCTACAGAAAATGAAAGCCATTATTCAGCCAACAGACCAATAAATGGTACAGAAAACCATTCGAAATTACCTGTAGCTATATCTAAAACAGGAATGGGGCAAGGAAAACGTGAGAATCAAATTTTAAAATTTAACTGCAGGGATAGGCATCTTAGACTTCATATACCCAGCTTCAACCTAGTGTTAGAAAGCATATCCTACAAACAACCTTTAGAAGAGGTGTTCCATTACAATAACATGGTCAGATATATAAGTTAGGCAGTCTTATTCTCAGGATAAACACATTGATTAAGATGTCATTTCCTTGTCATACTTAAGCTGAAACAATACCCATCTATTAGTGCTCTTGCATGCTTGTTCACTACTTAATATATTACTTCAAGCTGAATGAAAAAGCAAAATTTCTAGAAAATACTAACAGCTAAAAAATAAAATACTAATCATACAAAGAACGGTAAAAAAATGAAATAGATATAATTAGCTAGATTTCATACAGAGATGGACGAGCTTCACGTTGACTTACGTAGGCAAAACCAACCTCCTCGTCCTGGATTAACAGTCATGAAAGTTAGAAAACAAGCGAGAATAAAAGAGAGGAATTGCAAAGTAGAATTTTCTGAACCTCAAGAAGTTCTTTCACTTGCAACAAGGATATGTTTGTATTAGCGCCCATAAACTTCAGCATCTGCTCTTCAGTTACACCCCCCTGGAGAGAACAAGACCATTCAAAAAATCTGCACTTGAAATATTATGAGTCAAAGATGTATGGAAGCCTGGATTTTCGAAACATCAATATTTCAGTCATCTGAGAAAAATCTGCATTTGAGAAAATATTCCCACCGCAGGGATAGATAGGTCAAAACCAGCAAAATCATTAGAGTTTTTCATTGTGTCACTATCAATTTCAGATGAACTTCCCTAGGAAGCTAAAATGCATAACTGGAGATATGAAACATCCCCTTTTCCAGCACCAAAAAAAAAAAAAAAAAAAGTAAGTTGTTAATAATAAAAGATATGCAGAGGTTGACCTTAGGAGGCATCCATTCCACACCATGAAGCAAGCAGGATTCACTGTAGCAGGATCTAACAGCAGCAACAAACAATGTGCTCCTAAAGAAACGTGTGTTACCATCATAAGGTTCTCCATAATGTGTCAAAGATTTAACATCAGCAACTGGCGGAGGACCTGTGACCAATTGGCAAGTACATTAACCTGAATAAACTACATATATTGATATATAAAATGCAATTACTAATAAATTAACACGAATTCACTGATGAATGCCAAACACATACCAAGTTCATCATCAAATGCAAGGCAATATGCTTTTAGTTCACGATCTGTTTCTCTGTTCATGCGTTGACCGATTAAAAATGCTGAAAGCAATGATTTGCTAACTTCTGAAGCTTTGTTATCTTCCACTTTCAATGGAAGAACATCTCTTAGAAAACCTTGAACTTCTTCATATCCAAGGTGACCCCCTGCCAAAACTTCTCTAAGGGCACCAACCAATCTCATTTCACTAGGGGCATTGCCACAATAATGGGGCCCTATTGAGCCTCCTAACCCCATAATAGAGCCTTCAGGGTCTGCTATGAAAATTACATCAGGTGGAAGTGCTCGAACTAGGAGCGGCCAGAATGTGTTCATTGCACGCCTCTCTCCTTCACTCCATTGGGTTGCTTCAGGAAATGCGTTTGCACGGATTGTCATTCCAGCAAAAAAAGCACCGAGCTGTGCTCTGGAGACTTCCTCTTCATCCTTGAGCTCCCCCTTAGCTAAATATTCATA